GCTTTGTGCCATTTCATTATCTCGCCTCCTCTGAGTAGGGTAGGCTTATTAGCAAGCTTTGAACTCACACTTAGAATAATATGCCATCAACAGTTTTATAAGCTAATTAGAAAAAAAACTGTTTAATTAATGAGTGACTGGCAATAAAATGGCAATCATGAAAAAAGAAACCAAGGGTGCTAAGCTTCCACTACCACCAATTAAGGCCTAATTACAAACAAATTATATATGTGTTTTGCTGTGGGCTTTAATTTAAAAAAAATGGCTTTAATTAAAAGAGAAAACATGCTAATTAATTAAACAGCACACAAATCTACATTGAAAAGTATGCTTTGTCTATCAAGTAATTAATGAAATACAATAATCCAAATGAGATTCCCAGGCATTTGATAAAAGCTTAGTACCCATTTCAAAATCCATTTCAAAATTAATGGGCGAAAATTTAATGTGAGTCATCCAGAGATACAATAAAAGTTCATTCAGTGATAAATTGCTTATGCTGAAGGAAAAATGAACAAAGAGGAGAGTTTCCCTGAACTCTCTGCGAGGTGGCCTGGGGGGGCTCGCAGGGGAGACGGAGTCAGACTCCTTCTCTGATGTGGGGCGGGGAAAGTCAAAATCTGATAAAGCCTACTTTCCACAAAAGCGCCGCTCATTAATTTTTTGATTACAAACACAGGGCATGGCGGGGGGAAGGTGGCGAGAAGAAAAAAGGTGTTAAATAACATAAATATCATGAAACACTCTTAGTTCAGCTCTTTGTTTCAACTAAGCCACCATGTCTCCTCTGACAAAATGCCGCGCCACCTTTGTTTCACAGCGTTTAAGCGAGGCTTTCCAAAGGGTAGATTTCAAGGACAGTGGGGCTTTTCCTTTCAGCAGCTGCACTATTGAAATGCAAGCTAGAACATAATGAGGGATGTTATAACCATCCGCATGTTCAAAAGCTACAGAAACTATAAATGGCTCCAGTTAATACATATTCATATGGCTAATTACAATACAATCTATTAGGAGGGATTCATTTTTAAACAGTTTGGATGTAGCACGTTATTATTACTCAAAGTGGCATAACAAGAAAGCTCCACGACAAAAGGTCAATCCGGACTATATGTAGCAGTTCCGATATCCAATTAAATCACCAAATACCAGTATAGGCCTTAAAAGTTCAATGCCGGTCAGCCTCTGGTCTAAAACATACTGGGCCGTGCATAGTTTGTTGTTGGTGGTGGTTTTTCTGTTGCAGGGCATAGGCTGAAAAGAAAAACTGTCTTTTAAGACACCTTCTTTGTACTTGTGGCCATGTACATGGGGCTGCTTCCATCCTGATGGTGAGGCCAGCAGCAATGCAACATAGTTTTTCATTTTTCATATCCTTAAGCTCCTGCAAGTCATGAAATACACCCGACATCCATGTTTGTGGCAGACTACAGAGAGTTTCTGTTTTGAAATGTTAATGCCACTCTAATAACTGTGATGACAGCCATGGGGCAATAAAAGGCTAACACAACATGATGGTCTTTTGTAAAGAAATATACCCACTTACTGTATATGAAGCAAATGTACGGATACATTCAAAAACAGATCAGCGGCTCTGTTTAATAAAATAGATATTTCATTTTTCCTGTTGATTGAAGTACTACAATGAGAATGTGGATTAGTGCAGCAAAGACAGTAGTTTACATTAGTGTCCGATTTAGAGTACAGTCATTATAGAATAAGTAGTCATTGTTCCGAAAATTGCATGGTTCTAATAACCCTTCAAAGGACTTAGAATAATTTGTAATAGTAAGCTGGCTACATGTCGAGAGGTGTGCCTGTCTCCCAATGAATGACACGCAGCATAGGTTCCAGGCTCCCACCCCTGCGGCCCTGAATTGAATCGTTAACAAGTAGGGTGGATAGAAAAGATGGATGGATATAAAATTTTTGAGTGTCATAACCTGATAGCTTAAATCATATTTATTTAGATATTGAAAGCACCTTATTATGGTGTCCCACAGGGATCAATCGTTGGTCCACTGCTCTTCCTGTTACATGTAAATCACAATCACACAAATTCCAGAAGTAATTTTGAATGTTTTGTGTGACGCTGATGATTTAATGGATGATTTAAGCTTTTGGGGGGTTTTGTCAACAGGTCAGACTCAAATCTGGGCCACTGCAGTCTGACCATGTGAGCTAAAGTGGCACCCAGTCAAAAAGTAGAGTTAGATGTAGAAATTGAGTAGATTTCAGTACCTTATAGTCGTGTGAAAAAGTAAGTATAACACTTTGATTGCTTTGGTTTTACTGCATTTGATCCTGTTTGATACAGTGACTACAGATAAACATAAGATAACATAAGATTTTCTTTACTACTTATCAGTTATAATCTTTTCATACTAGCTCATTTACCAGGAACAGAAAAATCAATCTGCTAAATATGAGCTGCTGGATGCTATCAGGCCTCATGACATGCTTTGAGCCGTTTATAGTGTATGTGTCTGTCACTTCTTGTTATGCTAATTACAGAATTAATTAGCCCGTACGCAGCTTGCTGCAGAGTACAATAATGTGCAGTAATCAAAGGATGGAGACCAAGTCTTAATTGGAGGACTTGCACCTTTTAATCTACTGAACTATTAAGACTACTTTAGAGGCAAGGAGATTTTTACATTGTTTTGTGTCTTCTAAAGCATGTGAAAAGAAATCTAAATGCGCTGAGGAGGATCAACAGGCATCTTTATGAGAAAAGAAACTGTCTGTATAATTTATTAAACTACATTAGGAAGCTTTGGAAATGCACTGTAGACAATAATAAAAATTTCTTTAGAGGGGTAATATGTTTATTTAAAAATCTGAGCATGTCTTCACGAATTAATCTAAAAACAAAGGCTTTCAGCTTTGAAACATATTTAAAAACCGTAATGAGAATAAAAACCCGCAACCTGCAATATCCAAGCCGCGTGTCTTAGAAGTTTGACAGATGAAAGAAAACATATCTCAGAATTTATAAGGAGCCTTCAAAACAGGGTTTTACCAAATTGTTTTAATGTTTAGATTAAAAAAACGTAAGAAAGGAAGTAGAGCAAATGGAAATCATTAATTGACTTGTGGGAGCTCAAAACAGCAGAAACAAACATTTCCGTCTTACAAAAGAGGGGATTCTGACAGCAAGCTCTCTATCTTTCTTCTATTTCCCTTTGCTTTGAGGAGATAAGTGGGAATGCATTAGATTGAGGATGAAAATACTCTGAAACATTGTCATCCAACATGTACCAGCATTTTCTTTACAAAACAATGCCTAGAGGGACAAACAGGCCTCTTCAGTTCTTCACAGCTGTCGGAATGCTTTTGCATTTTTCGCGAAGAAAACCTGTTCCTATTCTTCGAGTGAAAAGCCTGCCACAATCATGTCAGGATGTTATGACCGTAAACAAATTAAACATCTAAGCAATTCCGTGCCAAATGAGCCACTCAATTATAACCTTGAAATTGATTCTGGCCACAGCGGAGATTATTGATCCTCTAAATGTTTGTCACAGTGCTCCCGTCAACGTGAACAGGAAGGCGGTAAACAAACACTCTGGTCCTAAATGCTATCTGAAATACAGGCTGCATTAATATACACTATAATCCTTTATAACTGATTCAGAATCCCTTAAACTTTCTGGCTTTTAGCTTCCATTTCTCTCCCATTTTTTTTTTCTTTTTTAACTATGAGCAGGACTGCTTGTCTTTGTATTCGAAAGAAAACCTGTACAACTTTGCATCAGCTAGCATTTAGGGATTTAAAAATAGTCAAATCTATACTCTCTTGAAATGAAGTTATCACTGCCTAACAATGAATTGCGGCTGCCAAACTGCTGTCAGGTCCCATCACGGCTCTGGCAAGACACAAGGCAGGTGCCAGGGAGGCGAGAACCTCAGCTCAGGCTAAAACCAATCCACCAGCGCTCTAAGAGGCTTTCTGAAAGTACAGCACAGGTGCCACTCACAAGAGCTTTCATTTAACTCCCTCATATTCGATCACTCTGCTCACAGTTAGAATGGAAATATGAAGGGGCTCTAATGCTTGCACACCAAATGTCTATTACACAATGGAGATACTAGGTCACAAATGTAATGCTCACACAATTAGCACAGTTGATATTTTCATTTAGAAACCTCCTTATCCATTCAAGAGGTTCTGGTTGCAATTTGTTTTTCGATTACTTGCTTTAAATCGAATCATATCCAGATTTTTTTTAACGAAAGAAATCACATCATTTGCACCTCCTATGTTTCTTCTCCACAGCGAAGCCAGTAATGGCTCTAGCTGCCGTCCACTACGTGAACATGAGAGTAAAAGTTACATTTTTGAACACCACGTTTAAATAACTTTAATTTTTCTGTTGAGCAGCGTTAAATGGACGGCCCCTCCCACCTTATAACTCCAAATTGAAATCCTCAGATGCCAGGAAAACCTGAGCCTGTTCCATCTTTTTGTTGCCACTATTACAAAATGAAAATGCTCATGCGACGCTGTAAGCAAAATGCATTATAAAACAAAGAAGTTTAACTTTGATGCTCCGGCGGAGAAGTAACGCTGCAGCTGTATGTCTTTTTAACCACAATTATGTGTGTGTGGGCTACATTTTATGCTAAATTAGTTTCAAACCACTTGATCCTTGATGCCTGCCAAGGCGGTTAGTTACAAAACTTCAGGCACTGCATTTAGGGACATGTACACTTCAAAGGTATGAAACTCTTACCTGGAGAATGATTTAACAGTTGGCTTGAAAGCAATGTACCCTTCATTAAAAAGCAGAGCCAAAAGTCCTTTAGACACTGCCGCACTTCAAAACTAAGGGGAGGGCTTTCCATTAACTCAATGGAAAAGAGCTGCAGGACTGAATGGTGGATGTCTGCGTGTGTTTTTGTTCCTCTATGTCTTTGCAGCAGAAATGGCCACGGATCCATTAGCCTGATTTGTCACAGCGGGAGCACCCCAAAGATCTCTTATCAGCACAACGTACCTCTCGAGTGGCGAGTCTGTCGCTCATCTCCTCCGCCTTTGCAATGTCCCCTTCAGCTATGGCCCTCTCTATGCTCTTTTCTAGGCCGGACTGCAGAAGAGGGGAAAAAAAAAAATCGTTTTTTTTTTTTTTTTTTTTGAAATAGGGGTAGAGAAAAAAAAAATCAAAGAGTAACTTCAAAAGTCCCCAGGGCCTTATTTTTAATATGATTGCCATTACTACAAATATGTAGATTTCGCTTCACAAATGAAAACCTTTTTGATTGGATATTAGTGGGGAAATCTTAGAAATGCTACAGGAGATTACCAAACATAAATGTGACTCTTTAATTACACATTTCCATTACAGGCCTAAGCAGAGGGGGGTGCCGAGAAGCCCCCGGTCACTGATGGCAAGGCAGTTCTGCTGTGATGAGACTATCTCAGCGAGCCGAGTACCAGATTTCTTCAGCCCCCCCAAATTTCATCATGGTGGAAAAAAAAGATACACTGGAAAGAAACTGCAATTATTAATGTGTCCCCTCTGATGTATTGTTGACTCACTGTAAAAGTACAGTAAAGTAAACATCAAGTTTTAAAACGCAGAATTTTATTAATTTTTTTGACTCCGATTGGTCAGCTCTGATTTAGTGCGCTCATTACAGTTCAATGTCCTGAACGTACCCGATCCGACTCGTGAACTCAGTTATCACCAGCAGTTTCTCACAAGCAGAACTCAAACGGACAGACGGTCATCGTTTATGCTGTGAACTGTGTTTAAGGTTAGGGTTTGGAGAAGCTGCTGCCAGATAAATAATCACATCTGGCAACTGTGATATAGTTTTTCCTCAATTACCTCACTTCAAATTGTTCGAAAGACTTGCCAGACTCGAAATAATATATTAATTACAAGGATCTGCATTTGAGTGATGAAAGAGAACCTCATTATGATAATGTGGCAAGTTCTGTTACATCCAGCTTGGCACCCCATTCAAAATGAGGCTAAATTCACAAAAAAAAAAAAAGAAAAAACCCTCAATCTTATGCTGCTGAGATAAATTAAGCACAAAATACTCCAAAATAATCATTAAAGGGATTTCACATTGAAATTAGAACAGTTCCCATTCATTGGTCAATCGTAATGTTCATCAAGCTTGCAAATATTTTTGCTTCATTAGCAATTTGCAATCGTTTTGCATTAAAGGTTTGGTCATCTTTAAGAGCTGAAATGCACTCAAATGGAAGAAAGTTCAGTTTTACATTTTTGTCTTTGTTCCAGCTGCAGTCACAGAGGCTGTAACCATCTCATCTTCTGCCAAGCAACACTTGGATTTTCAGTCTTTTTGCAGGTGAAGAAAAAAATCCTACATCTCACTTGAATCTTAACCACGCTAGAAAGCAGATTCACCCTAATCTTATCACTAAACGTAGCTGAGCATAATCCCCAATGTACTTCTCAATGTCAGGTTGAGTTATTATAAAGGTCCCCCTAATCCACATGTCATATCACGTAAAACAATGAGACGGTACAGTGGCAACGAAACACAAAGGATGTGAAGGTGTTTCTAACAGCTAAGACAGACACAGTATTAAACCTCAGAAGATAAGTTGGAAGGCAGTCTTTGTTACCTTCGGAGGGGGTTTGGAACATGCAGGGGGATGAAATCGATCATTTACACCAAAATACTGCTTAAGCTCATCCCAGTGCTTCTCCCGCTCCTCTTGACGCTCTCTGCTGACAGAGAAAATGTCTGTTAATGCTCATGTAGACCAGCATTGCAATAAGACATATATCGTGTCCATCTTTTTATTAACTTGACTGTATTTCTTTTGTTACCCTTCTAATCAGATCTATGTGTTTTTCATACTTTGTGGCGACAGCATTTTGTAAGGAATTTGCCCGTAAGGATAGTTTGACAAACAGGAAAGGAAACATCCTTCACTTTACCTGACTATTCATAGTCTGTAATGTTGTGTAACAGTACCTTGTTTCTGCAGGTTCCCCACTTTCTGCTCCTGTGAAATTACACGCACAAGACAAACAAGTTAATGATACATAGGTTTCTTCTGTATGAGTCTGCCTGTTCACTTTACATCAATGGCCACGTACAGTCCACTTTGATCTTAAGTGGGCCAAACCAGTGAAATTCCCCTTTATGTAGTAGTTTAACTGCATAAGCAATACCTGAGCTATCTCAATATAAGAAAAAGAAGTGCAATTTCAACATAGTGCAATTACACTGTCGTTTAATTGTTTAACATCATTACATTGGGGGAGTACGAATGATTTCGGGAGAAGTCTTTATCAGTAGACCGAGCTGTCAAAATGTATGACAATATAGTTAAAATGTACATCTTCCTTCAGATTTTCCAAAGACATCCAGTAGGCTGGACTGGAATCTTTGTCTGGCCCCCGGGCCTTATGTTTGGCACCCCTGATATTACTTCAGTTGTTAGCTATACCATGTGTACCAATAAGTTGCTCGACTACCTTTAAGGTAAGTTTCTATCAAATACAAAGGTTTATTTTCTTACAAATTGACCAATATTTTGTCCACTGGAAAAATGTGCAAACAATTAGAGCCTGACTGATGAACTAGTTGGCCAATATTATCAACCAATCTATCACTAGCCTATCACAAATATATCAGTATTATAAATACATTTTGCTATAAAAGGTGCTTATTTTATAAACACTGTCTTCACACAGTATGTCCAGCAGAGCTACTCAAGTTTCACTTCTTCCAAAATGCTCTGCAGTATCTGCAGCACCTGCAGCAGAGCAGAGTAAGGTACTAATATTGGCCAATATATTGATATTGGAACTACTGAATTACAAAAACTCCCCCATCTGTTGGATGTAGAACTACATTACCTTTCTTTCGCTTTCTTCTTTTCCTTTTTCTTCTGTCTTCTGTGACCTTTAATATCCTTATATCATCTTTCTTCCTCCGCAGATCCTGGAATTTCTTAAAGACACATACAAAGTGAATACAGCATCACTGCTCTTGATTCTTTTCTGCTGCAGCTGTACAGATGTGACATACGAAGAGGGCTTCAAAACCCTGCTTTTCTCACTTCAGATGAACCGTTAGCTTAAGTCTGAGCTGGGCTGGGGGTACTGCAGCAATAGTAAATGTAAACTTAGAGATAGTTAGCGTGAAGCTAACTTTCAGAGTTAGCTTCATTTATACAGGCATCACTAAAACCAAAGAGGTTAGCCTGTACCTAGAATGAAAAATAAGATCAATACAACATACTTGCCACATTTCTTGGGATATGCCAGGCATACTGCATGTCGGAGAGTCACTGGCTGCAGTGTGAGTCGATTGTGACTCCTCCAGCGAGCATGTGTTTTTAGCAGAGCCCTTTTCAAATTCCCTCTTCTCGTCTTCTAAATCGCCCGGCTTGTCCTCCTCGTCATCTGAACTGAGGTCGTCTTCGGTTAAACCACTGGGCAGGAGTCCGCTGTACATAACGAATCAGTAGATTATATTCAGCATATACGGGTAATTTATGATTGCACTGTATTTTAAACGGTCCGTAATAGGTAAACTACAGATTTCCACAACAGTTGTTAGGAACGACTGTCATTTCCGGGTAAACACTGCGACGCTGCCTGCTAAATGGCACCGATTGGCTGATCGCAAACAGCGCTGAGCACAACGTCCAATCAGCGTTGTTGCTAAACAGTGGAGCACGAGGACTAAAAGCAACCTCTTATTGGCTGCATTGGTAGGAACTTTTAAGAAGTTCAGGTTTTATTTAACATATTCCTTAATATTTTCCTAGTATTCGGGTAAGGAGGTATTTTAGCTCCGAAGGAGCTCAAGCTTTACAGAAAAGTGAAACAGCTGCTGGACCGTTTCTAATTGAGGTGAGCCGGGCTACTGACAGGTCCGTGAATTACCAGGAATCATTCAAATGTTAACCTATATTTGTGTTATGTTCTCTGTGAGATAAGCTTCATTCTCTGACCAATAGTTCGCAATTTGCTTAAAGTGCTTTGGGCATTACATTATTATTAGAATGATTAGCATGCAAATCTTGTATAGCCCCCGGCACTGGCAGAGGCATCTAGCCTTAAATTGCTCTTTCACACTCATTCTCATTAGACTCTCTTTGGTTGCATCTTATTGCAAGGCCCATAATATACATAAATTACAGTCTGTATTTTCTGTGCTATGCAAGTGTAGCATAATGGGGAAGACCAGTGACACTGATGTGTATGTAAAACGGCCTAAAACCAGTGCTCAGGTAAGCCAGACATTAAAAGGGAAACACACCTTAAGTTTAAACATAAGTATTGCGTGCTGTACTGGAGGAGAGCTACAGGACCTCCGTTTTTCTTTCTTCAGTCAATTACCTCAAACTTCAAATGTTTATAAGCCACACATAAACATTTCCTCAATTAAAATGATGTAGTGTAAAATTATCACTTTTTCAATAATTAACTGCTGAATCTATGGAAATACATTATAGAAAATGTAGTTGAGTAATTGGGGGGGGGGGGGGGGGGGGGGGGGATTCAATAGAAAATGTCAAGTATTCTCTCGCTCCACTTTCTGAAGTCTGTTGTTTTCTCTTAAACACACATTTCTTGGGTTAGTGAGCCTGTACATGGTTTTATATTCAGGGTTTAGGTATTGAGAGTGTGCATATTTTATGAGCTATAAGCTATGTTTTCAAAAAATAATTGGTAAGTTGTTCAGTAAGAGTGTTGTGCTATTAATGTAATATGAAAAAAAAAGTAAAAGATGGGGACCTTGCTCTCTCCTTGACCTTCCTGCAGCCTAAGATGAGAGATGTTACTTAGTTTGCTTTTGCTAAATGAAGTGCACATTAAAGCTGACTGATAAGGCTTATACTATATTGAATGTCATGGAAAACGTGAAAAAAATTCTCTATCTCATCCTCGGAAATATGCAACCATTAACTGGCATCGCTCACTCAGCATAATCGCTGCGTTAATTACATGTGTGACAAGCTGATGAGCACATCAGTGTCTGAAGGTAAATGAGAGTCACAAAGTCCTGTTAATACTAAACAAATTTGGCATTGCAGGTCTGAATCATTTCCTTATTGATTACTAGACTTTGTGTTCTATTTCACACTTGAATTAATGTCTCTCAGCTTTCCCACCACCCACCTCTCTCTCTCTCTAGCTGACTCCCTCTCCTTGTTTCCATCTCTCCCTGGCATGTGCTCCAGTTCATTATTTCTGTCATTTCTTGGTAATTTGGAGTTGGCTGTTTAAAACTTAGAGCCTCTTATTAAGTTTTGGCCATGGTGGATAAGAGGCAGGACTGTAAGAGCACAGAGATAAACTAATCATCTTAAAACCCTAATTATTAGTATCTTACTGTGACAGACTGTTTTTGCGAGGCAGCCAAATTGAGCCTCAAATGAGGAAAGGCATATCTGTGGAAGTGGTAATAATTTTAAGTCATCTCGATCTGGCTTGGTGTGGCAGAATTCATTAGTGCAGATTAGCACTGTGTGTACAAAGTAAATGAGATATCTAATAGCAAACGTGGAGGTCTGGGGACTCTTAATTTCCTTCCCAGTATGAGCGATGATGTTAAGAGGTGATTATATATATATTTTAACACTGTGTAGATTTGTCTGCTCCTTAGCCAAGCAGTTACACTAAACAGTGCCACTAAACTGTCGACCTCTCACCTCGCTCTGTACTTCAGCTGCAGAAAGGTGACAAAAATGAACCCCAAATCAGATTACACTGTGTTACTCTGATGCAGAGGCAAGCTGTTTTTTTCTGTGAGGATATGAAGGGAGTTAATTATGTGTGTAAGGAGAAGGTTGGGGAAAAAATAATAAGATTACAAAGAATAATTTGCTGATATAATTACACCAAAATTGGGTACACACAATCGTAAAATACATGTATTGCTTGACCTGGGTTAGCCAGTGAAATAAATCCTCCTTCTATAGCCTTTGTTAATTTGTTTTTATCATCTCCAAGTGGTGTTTGTGCAGGCAGTTCAATTTGCATGTGTAATTCCACTGTGCAAATTGACAACAAGTAGATAATTCGAGGAAATAGGCTGGTTGCAGGCCCCTGCTATCTTCCCATGCCTATTCATTTTGAGGAACCGCTGAGGCATGAAACTCATACATCAACTATTTCCTGACAACGCTTAGGCTTATTGTCCCCTAAAATGTCATTACAGCCATTATTTATGAAGCTAATTCATTTATTAAACCATATTTACTCTGACAGAATTTGTCACATTCTATCCATATCCTGAGCATTGCTTTTGAACATTGTCTCACAATGAGTATGTGCGAACACGTACGGCCTCACAAAGTTTTGTATCAGCCCAATTTGCCTCCATAATAGTTGGAATATTGCGACAGGAGTTCTGCGGTTTTTTGACTTTTAAGGGAAACTTTGCTAGAAGCTCGTACCGTGTGTCACAGAAGTCCTCTAAAAAGTACTTTGGTAATAGCTGACATCCCGCTTTGTGTTTTTGTCCTAATAGAGACGAGACTGCATGAACGTAATCAGATGGAATATTTTAGTAGCATTGATAAATCTGCCCTCTGACAGCCCCCTTCTTAAATGAGTATGTATTAGTCACTTTTAATGCATTGCAGTAAGGCTGAAGAGTTCTTACGTCAAGCCTCCTGGCCTGTTGCTGCTGACTTATGGATCTGTCAGTTTAGCGCCGCGTACTTCATGACAGTGTGGATAATTTGCAATTGTGAGCAATGAAGTAACACATAGGGGGGTCATAAATTTTAATGTTACATGTTCTCCCTGGATAATTCCGTCACACCATTCTCTCGTATCTCTTCCTTTGGACTTACCTGTCACCCAAAAGCACTTATCACAGCAGTGGCGATGAGTTGTGTTTGAACTGTTTTACAATATTGATTTGGAGGCATGACATTTTAATTAATACTGGGTGTTAGCTGTCATATAGGCCGCCAGCCTCATTGGTTAGAGTATGAGACAGGCGAGGTAGGGGCAACGGAGATAAGACTAAAGCACTTACAGTGAAAAGGCTGTAAAAAGGGATCAATGTGGAAAGAGAGAGACAGTCATGGGTTGAATTTAAGGTAGAAAAAACAGTAATATCTGCGCTCACTGTATTTCTGTCAAGGTCTATTCTCTCGCCAATAACACAAATCAGTGAGACACAGCGTGCCTTCTGTCTTCCACAGGTTGCAGAGTACATCGTGTTATTGGGAGTCTGTGTTGCCAGCAAACCCAGAGAGAGTCTGCGTGCTGAGAGACGACCAGGGGGAAATTAGGTAACTTTGTAGCACTCCATTGAACAGCAATAAGCTTTTAGGGCTTAGCAAGCATAAACACATTAAACTGATGAGATTCATCAGCACTCTTGTGTCAAATCTATCGTGCCCAAAGGCAGAGCTCAGCAGCAGCAAAGTGCAGAGAAAGAGAAGGGTTGGCGACAAACCAGTGCTGTTTCCTCTGGATGTTTGCTGGTTTATCCAAACAGAGTCAGGTGATCAGCTGGAACCTCAGAGTTTGATAATGATACACAGTGCTACCCCTGGAAGAGCAGAAATGTTTAGCCATTGTAGGGTCAGAACATTGGCTCGAATGATCAAAAGATTTATTTTTTTATGTTAATTCACCAGTTTACTATTTCATCATTAATTAGTCAGTTAATTACAAATGAAATACAGGGATTGGATCAAATATGAAAAAAAAAGTAGTAAAGTGTTTGCAAAAACCACCAGATACCAAAGTAGTTTCTTAAATTTGTTTACTTAAATTTACGATAAACCTTGCTGGTCAGAAATATTTCACATCAAAGAGTGCATACGCCAAATTTACAGCAACAAATACAAATACAGGTTGTTATATACCATGCAGATAAGAGCTGAACAAGAAACTACCTATCCATGTTCGTGTTTTTTTTACAGATGTATGATATTGTGAGTTTCCCTACGTACAGTACAAATACTGCATGTAAAATTTTGGTTTTCAGCTTAAAGCTTTGGTAAAAGAACAAAATATTGAGTATAATTAAATCTGTGTATGAACTATGTAATGACTAAAAAAATAATTATTTGCAAAAAAAAATCAAGTTAAATTCATAAAGCTTTACGAAATGACAAAAAAGATACATTTGCAACGTTAAGGTTGTGTTTCTAGCTGAATGAGACTTATCAGTTCACTCATTTCAGGGCAATAGTTGTTATAGATGTGCACCAGATTCAAACCTAGTTGGAACTGAATGCTGAACAGCATAGCGCTAAACATTAGCACATGTTCATTTGCAGCTAGTTCACCATATTTGGTATTTAATTGGTGTAATCTCAGAGCTGCAAAGCTGGAGGACCTTATGCTGATAAAATGATACATTTAAATTGAAATATTTCTTCTCAAAGGTAAGAAGGCCCTTCAACTTTATTTCACCATTTATCTGTTGTCTGTTCTTTTCCAAATCATTATAGCCTCTTGCCTTCTGGATAGTTTCACTGGAGGCAGCCAGATCGGCATGAAATTAGCTCGGTTTGAATCTTTATATGGTCCAATCAGATGAGCTGAGATTTAATCTTTGCTGGCCTGCCCTACCAGAGTCCGACCCCTCAGATGAAATGGACTACATATTC